AGTCTTTGTTTAAAATTTACAATCGTCTGTTAAGTACATTTGCAATGTGTACCAATTGTGTAATAGTTGAGGATACGACCACGGAGCTGGATTATTGAGCTCACATCAAGGCAGACATTGCTAAAAAGCCTTTTATGATGAAGACTGAAGAGGGTGGAATCGAAAGGAAAGGGGTGGTCAACCAAAACTAACTATGTATGAAAGTGTCATACGATAACCCACTGTTCTGTATTCTAAGAAATTAGTGGGGGTAGCGCGGCAGGGGGAGTCCATGGCGGAGCATTGGTGTGAACTGGAGGTGGGTGTTAGGAAACCCACTCGTGGAGTGTAGGGAATGCAGGAAGAGGGATGTGCTGGTGTCCAGAGAGCAAAGGTGTCAGAGGGGATTGAATGATAGAACGGGATGATGAGGCTGGATGGGGATGGAGCTTGTGTCCCCAGAACATGAATTACCTGAAAGAGCGAAAGGAGTATCTTTACCTAGGAAATGCTACTGTGTGATTGACACTGGTGTTCCTGAGTTAAATAGCAAGGTGGCCTTAGAGTTCTGGAGCTGTCAGTTCATACCTGTCAATCAGGACACAACAAGGTGGTCAGGTAAAGGATAGGATGAGGCCAGGAGTGAAGATGGGTTCCTGGTTTGTGCCTCCGGGGCAATCTGACTGAAATGACCAACTGGGGTAGTGGCACCAGGACAAAGCACCCAAGTCAAGCACACTGAGTTTTTCTGAAAGGCTTCCTGTAGAGATGATGAAGAGACCCATGGATGAAGTACATACTGGGTCTTGTTCTAAGGTCTTAGGAATGAGTTACGAATCTGGAAGTCACTGCCATGTGGGACCGAATGCTATTGGATAAGCAATTAAAGGAAAGCCTGGAGAAAAGACTCAAGGAATTGTTGTGTTCAGTGTCTGTGCTGCTGGTGTTATATTTAGGAAGTGATCTCCTGTGCCAATGCGTTCAAGAGTACTTCCTACTTTCTCTTCTATTAAGTTTAGTGTAACCCACACTGGCTTTTAGGTTGAGTAAGACACCAGCTAGTGGGGCTGGAGAGATGGCTCAGAGGTTAAGAGCACTAGCTGCTCTTCCAGAGGTCCTGAGTTCAATTCCCACCAACCACATGGTGGCTCACAACCATCTATACTGGTGTGCAGGCATACTTCCAGACAGAACACTATACATAATAAATAAATAAAATCTTGCTTTAAAAAAAAAGACACCAGCTAGCTCAAGTGCCAATGAAGAGAAGGGGAAGTGGGTGCATGGGAGGAATCCGTTGTCTTACTCTCAGGGTCTCAATGTCTTCTGTGTGTCACTCTGAGGTTCCTCCTTTAGAGAAACTTTGGGATATGTAATAAATCCCCTCCCAGATGATTTTCAACAGGAGAACTGAATTGCGTAGTTTTGACCCTGATTAATAGGCTAATTTTAATGTGATTCATAATTCTCTGGTTTAGAAAACTTAGTTATATTTATAATCATCAGAAAATGTCTCTGATCTGCCACTGACAGAGGTTCTCTTTGTGCCTGGAGCTTGAGGACATCTGTGATGTCACTCGATTATTCAGGATGGAATCTGCAGAGAAACAAAACCCTACTTCACCCAGGAGCATGTCTGAATGTATGTCACAGACACGACCCTCATGAATGTCACCACTACCCTTCAGTCCCTAGACACTGAGTGGCTAAATTCTAATAAAGCTGAATAACCCTTTTGAGACTCAGGGAAATGGGAGCTATCTTTGGGAAATATTTTATTCCGATTAATTCATGAGATTCCCATGATGACCCGTGGTGAAAACAGCTGCCTGTACCCCAGTTCTTCTTTCTAAATAGAGGGTTGGGGGTGGAATTGGAATTATTCTGAAGTCTCAGAGAAATCCACGCTTCCTGAAACCAGTCTGTCTCCCTCCCCGCCTCGCTTTCTCTTCCCCTTCTTTTTCTATCCCACAAACTGTTTATAAAGGACAGCCACAGTAATGATAATGGAGGATGGTGTGAACCCTTGCTAGCTTCCAAGAGACCTGTAGTCTGAGCTCTTCTGTTTGGTTGTTTTGTGGACAGTGTCTTGGTTTATGTCTTGTTGCTATGGTAACATCCCCACGGCAGCAACTTTAAGGAGAAAGGGTTTATTCAGACTTATAGTTCAAGAGGGATAGGGTCTGCCGTAGCGGGAAGATGTGGAGCAGGGGAGCAAGCAGGTGGCAGAGCAGGAGGCCGGCTGGTGACACTGTATCCACACTCAGGCAGAGAGTGAGCCGAAAGTGGGGCTGGGCTGGAGCCTCTAGGCCTGGGTTTAGTGATCCACTTCCTCTAACAAGCCTTCATCTTGTGAGGGTTCTGCAACCTCTCCATACAGTGCCACTAACTGGAGACCAGGGTTAAAATGCCCTAGACTATTGGGTATGCTTCAGGTTCAAACTACCATGTAGGGTCTCAGCTCAGGATGACCTGGACTCACTGTATAGTTGAGGATGCCCTTGAACTCCTGAATGTCTACTGAGGTTACTGAACTATGTTGTTACACTTGGCTTTTGAAATTGTTCTTCATGGCCTAAATATTACGGAAACATCCAGAATTCTTGCTTTTCACTCTGTTCTATGCATTCATCAGTGACTGTTGTGTCACAGAAAGACCCTCTGCATGTGCTCAGTGTTTGCTATGTTCTGTCACATGCATCGTATGATCCAGGCCTTCCAGTAACTTCTGTGAAGGAGGCACAATGCATAATGCTTCTGCCTTACTTTAAATTTGCTTTAGCCAATAAGAATCACTCACTGCTGAGTGGGCACATCACCAAAGACTGCTGTGTGGGAGAAGTAGAGATATGACGCTCATGGCAGGGTACATAGAGGACCATAGAAGTAGACTTGTAATTAAATAGAGTAGACTGTATCTGACATGAGCCTATTGCTGTTCTGTTGTCCAAAATGAACCCTGTATAAGTATTCTACCAGCCATTTGTTTGCACTCTAAAATAAACATCACCGACAACTTTAAAAACAGATTTCTTTCTATCTTAACCTATGTATAGAGGTGTGGGTTTATACAAGTGAGCACAGTACCTGTGGGGTCCAGAAGACAGTATCAGATGCCCTGGCATCAGAGTTGGAGGCATTTGTGAGCTGCCATGTTGGGTGCTGGGAACTGAACTCTGGTCCTCTGGAAGAGCAGCCAGTGCTCTTAACCACCGGGCCGTCTCTCCAGCCCACTCATACTGCTTCTGAAAGATGCCTCATGGGTTTCTATCACTGACGGAACTTATTTTGGTATGCCCAGGTAAACATGCTTACTCAGGCTTCAGCCCCAGGGGCAACTAACAGGGACGGCTTGTAAGTTGTAGTAAAGGGGGAAGGCTTGGGGAAGACACAACTGAAAGTGAGTTTTGTGGGAAAACTTTGCTGTAAATAGTTTAGAAGAGGATATTTTTTATGCTGACGTTCAGTATGTGTATTCAGGATAAGTCACAGAAAAAAAATGGTTTTCTGTCTAGAAAGACACATGTTGTGGTAATATCCACCATTTTGAATTAGTAACCTTTCTCTTTGTGTGTGTTTATGTGTGTGCCTATAAGTACATGTAAGAGCCCATGTAGGTGCACACATATGTGGGTATATATGTAGAGGTCAGAGGTCAGCCTCTGGTGTCATTCCTTGGGGATGTCCACCTTGTTTTGTGAGATGGAGTCTATCACTGTGACTTGAAGTTGGTGAATAAGGCCAGACTATCTGAGATCTGCCTGCCCCGCCTCACCTGCGCTGGGCACTATTCACAGCTTTTTACACAGGTTCGGAAAATTGAAGGTAGAATCTTGTAGAACAAAGTGTTAAACAGTCTTATTAATAAAAACCCTGGAGGCAAATATTGGAATAAAAAGTTGAGAGATCAGAAAAGCAGAAAGAAGTCAGGCACATTCTTACCCACTTGGAGATCATCTGCCAAAAAAGACCTACTTCCTGTATATACACGCCTATATGCCAACTCATTTGTTCTCTCTGCCCAGCTACATCACTTCCTTCTTCTGCCCAGCTCTGTCACTTCCTCTCTGTCTGTACAGACCTCCAGACCTTTATGCTTAACTAGTGTTGGGAATTTAAGGCATGTGCCACCAGGCCTGGCTCTGTTCCCAGGGTGACCTTGAACTCACAGAGATCCAGATGGATCTCTGCCTTCCCAGTGATAGGATTAAAGGCGTGTGCTACCATTGCCTGACCTCTATGTTTACTATAGTGGCTGGCTTTTTCTTCTGATCCTCAGATAAATTTTATTGGGGAACACAGATAAAGCATCACCACAGGACCTCATGCCTGCAAGGCAAACACTTAACTGAGCATCTCCTTGGGCCTCTTCCTTTCTTTCCTTTACGTGGCATTAGTACAAAGACTTGCTTCCATCCAAATGAAAAGGAACGTCCATTGGGAGGCTCCTGTCTAGGAAGCAATGCCTCCCCGAAAGTTCCTGTGAGGATGCTGAGTGCCACACTCCAGCCCCTCCACCTGGGTAAGGCCATGTCACATGCTCTGCCCTTCTGCAGCAGTGTTTGAATAAAACTTGCTGGCCAAATGCTTCGTAGCTCTTGTGAGTGAGCTTCATGCTTAACCTTGACCTTTTTCAAACTTGGACTTGCCTCTAATGACCTCACAGCAGAGAGAGCAGCTTTACAGTCCCTTCAGGAAACATCACATTGCTTCCAGTGAGTACCACGCTGTGTCCTTAACATGATTTTCTGTGGTTCTTCTACTGATCTCCACATCACTTTTAGGGATAGCTCTTAAGAAATGTTCTCTCTTTTAAGTTTTTGTTTGGAGGAAGAAATGAAAGCAAAACACAAGGATGGTCAATTCCCTCATTGAAATGATCCCTCAGGATATTAAGACTTATAGCATATATGAATGTGTAATAGACGCACATATATTAAATGATGTGACGCCTTGTTTTTGCTTCTCTGGCACATTTATCTGATAGATTATTTTTTTTTTTTTTTTTTTTTTTTTGTGGGCAAAGGGACACACAGTGTTTATTTGCCACGGGGGTTCTGCTCACATCTTGGGACTAGAAAAGTATTCCCAGCCTTCCAGCTTGCCAATCTTAAACAGGGTTGCCGCGGTGCCCATGTATACGCAGCCAACAGCTCCAGTCCCATAGCTGTGAGCACGCGCTCCCAGGGTCAGGCCCGCGGTGCAGCCCCCGATGAAGTAGTTCAGGGGGTCGTCTGGCTTCTCGCGGATCTGGGCACTGGCACAGGTGGCGAGACCAAACATAGCTCCGACGGCAGCCGCAGTGAACGTGTACCGGCCAGCCCTGGCCACTGCTTCCAGGTGGGTGTCTGCGGGGTTGAGCACGACGCTGTAAGCTGAGCCTATTGCGCCGACGAGGCCGCCTAACGCAGTGGTGATGTAGGTCTTGCGGTGACACTGGGTGCCGTCGGGGATCTCATCGTAGGCCTGGAGGAGCAGCCGGGCCATGGCTCCGCCTGGCCGTGCTCGCCCCGCACACCCTTCCGCGCCGCGGCCTGATAGATTATTTTTTAAGCATTCTTATTTTCTAACTCCCTTTTGTCTTTCGGACACAACGTCACAAGGTGGTATTGCTGCCTCCCTGAGAGGCACTGGATTGGAGGGGATGTCATGCTTTAATCCATGGTGGCAGCTTGTCTTCAGTCACAGCCTTCCTCTTCCTCATGAGCCAGTCTTGGTTTGGGGCTCATCCACTGACGCCACTGTGAGAACTTTTGCGTCCTATAACTTTTTTCTTTTTTTGGTTTTTTCGAGACAGGGTTTCTTTGTGTAGCTTTGGTGCCTGTCCTGGATCTCACTTTGTAGACCAGGCTGGCCTCGAACTCAGAGATCCGCCTGGCTCTGACTCCAGAGTGCTGGGACTAAAGGCGTGCGCCACCACCGCCTGGTGCCTCCTATAACTTTTTTGAGGCAAGGTCTTATGTAGCCCAAGCAGGCCTTGAGTTAGCAACATAGCCAACACTACCTTTCAATTCCTGATCCTCTTGTCTCCACTCCTTCCCAAATGCTGGGATTACAGATAAATGTCACCTTATCTGGCTAAATTATAACTACTTTTAAAAGTGTCAGAAGAACTTGCTGCTGAGGGAGACACTTAGGAGCCCAGCTCCGGCACCTCTCCCGGCCTGGTCCATCCCAGTGTGAAGGCACATCCATACATTCATTCTGTCAGCCATACTAACAGTCTGCACTATCTGGAGCCATTTTCTTCAATTCTCAAAATCTTTAGTGGCTTGTTATAGAGCTGATGTCACAAAATTAAGTGTGGGCTTAATTAAACTCCAAAATGAGGAAGGTAATGCAGTGAGTGAGTTGATCTTAGTGTAAGAATTCAGCTGTGCTGAGGTTCACTGACTGATGCTTGGGTGTACTCAGCGACCATCCTCCCATTAGGGAGAGCAAGGATCCCCACAGCTGTGTACTAGCAGAGAGCCTGCCAGAGAGAGAGAGAGAGAGAGAGAGAGAGAGAGAGAGAGAGAGAGAGAGAGAGAGAGAGAGAGAGAGAGAGAGAGCGAGCTTGTATTGGTGATGTGTTGGGTTCGTGGTTACACAGTATTTCTTTTTCCAAGAAAAGTCAAAAATCTACCTGTTTAATGTAGCCATTTTTTTTTTTGAAATGTTTATCCATGTGTTGGAGTGTAGCAGGAATCTTAGAGAGTCTGGCCAACTTCTCAGGTGGTCTTTTTTCCTCAGACTGGAAGCCTCTGTGTCCTCATATCCAAATGGCTCTCAGCTGAACTGTGCTGCTAGAAGCCTGAAAGCTTAACCAGCCAAATGCTTAACCAGCCAAATGCTTCTAGTTTCTGGTCCTCACGCCTTATATACCTTTCTGCTTTCTACCACCACTCCCTGGGATTAAAGGCGTGTGTCACCATGCCTGGCCGTTTCCAATGTGGCCTTGAACTCACAGAGATCCAGAGGGATTTCTACCTCTGGAGTGCTAGGGTTAAAGGTGTGAGTGCCACCATTTTCTAGCCTTTGTATCTAGTGGCTGTTCTGTCTCTGACCCCAGATAAGTTTATTAGGGTGCACAATATTTTGGGGAACACAATGCCACCATATTGGAAATATATCTTAGTGGTGAAGGATACATGCTGATCTTGCAAAGGACCTAGGTTTGATTCTCAGCACCCACATTGAGCTGCTCACAACTGCATATAACTACAGCTCCAGGAAACTATGGCACCTCTGGCCTCCTTAGGCACCTGAACAGATGTGCATATACCCACCTATTCCCAGACACACATATATGCACCATTAAAAATTTTAAAAACTCTTTAACTATTTATCCAAAAAGTGGGGGAGGGAAGACCTAGTCAACGCTAAGTCAAATGCAGCTGTGGTTCAGTTCAGGTCCTCGGTCGTCCACATGAGTCCTTGGCTATAGCCAAGTTCAGGAATGTGATGCGATATCTTGTCCTTCATCAGGCATATTGCCTATAGTCAAGACATCACTGTGCATTAAAGGATGCCGAGGGCTGGAGAGATGGATCCATGGTTAAGAGCAACTGCTGACCTTGCAGATGATCACAGTTGTGTTCTCAGCACCCACATCATGTAGTTCACAAACACCTATAACTCCAGTCCTCAGGGGTCTGATACCCTCATCTGTCTTCTGAGGGTACCCAATTACATGCACATGTACAAAAATGAATATATTATTTTAAGAGGATATTGAGAATTGATATTTTTAAGGCTGTAATGATATCTTATTTAAGCAAAACCATGTTGTTTAGGGGATGGACAGTTTGGTAGGTCTCAATGAATTAATCCTGTATTTTGGTTAATAAAATAATTCTTGCTTTGCGCATTTTAATCACTTGTGTTTTTAAAAAGGTAACCATTGTAAAGTGGGTTCAGTTTAGTAGATCCTGTATGCGTGCGTATTCATGGGGTTGATGGGACAGGCCTCCAACAGGGAACAGTGTGAAGGGCTGTGGAGAGACTGGAACTCAAGGCCACAGCTGCTGACAATGCAAATTGCACAACCACTTAGGGAGCTTGTTTAGCAATATACTGCAGCTGAACATATGAATGTGTGTCTGTGACTCCAATCCCACTTCTGAGTGTAGATCCAACAGAAATACATACATATGCTCACTGAATGATATGCAGTGGAGAATCTCTGTGCATGGTGGCCCAAAACAAGAAACTCCCGAAATGCCCAGAAAATACAGAATGCATAAATAAACTGCAGCTCATTCTTAAAATGGAAAAGTATACAGCAGTAAAAATGCATGATCTACAACTGAACACTTCATGAATCTCCAAAGCACGAGGCAGTGGGTATAATATATTGCTGTTCTTTTCTCGCCCCTGAGTTCACTCTGTGAGGTTTCAGTTGCCTGTGTTCAACAAGAAAGTGAACGGAGCAGCATGTGGTTCTGAGAGGGTCACAGCCCTGCTACTGTTGTTGCTGCACATTACATTACTTTTATTTTATTGGTAGTTACTGTACCTAATTTATCAATTAAAATTTCCTCAGTGCTATCTGCATAGAAAAAGAGTAGTGGACAAAAGGCTCACAACTATTCAATGGGATCTTGGAACAGAGACTCTAGGTTAAGGGGATGATAGTACACTGTATGGTTTCCTTTATATCTAAGCCATAATTGCCAAAGATGGTCTGTGATATTTCTATAGTAAAGAGAGTCATTGCCTTGAGAAACAAGAGAGGATATGTGAAGCTTGCAATCATCTGTAACTCCAGTTCCAGAGTGTCTGATGCCCTCTTCTGACCTCCGAGGGCACCAGGCACACATATGATGCACAAATATTCTTGCAGGCAAAATACTCCTACATATAAGACATAAATAAATCTTACTAAGAGAGAAAGGTACTACATTCTGGAGACTTAATGAAATAGCTGATCGTGACTGATGGAAGTTGAACTTATTTTTAACAGTCCCTGATGTCTAACTGCCTGTTGAAACACGAGGCTGAGAAACGATGAGCAGCGGAGACTCTTAGAGGCCCTCAGAACTGTAGCTTGAATAACTGAACCTTTATTTAATTGGATTAAAGTCACTGTCTGCCAGCTTTTGAGATTGTTTTAAGAATCTGCACTTATTCTTTAAAATGGGAAAGGAAAATGTAGCCCCGATAGACTGTAACTTTGTCATGTGTCAGCAATCAGAGTTTTTAAAATTTAAGTTCTTTATTGATTCTCTGAGATTTTTACATCATGCACCCCAATTCTGATTACCTCTTGGTCCCCCCAAATCATCTCCTCACTCCTGCAGTGTCCCTCCAAAGAAAATAAATGAAAACAAGAACAAAACAAACAAACCAACAAAAAACCCTCTTCACTTCTTTCCCACCTCTCCAACACCTCTTCCTTCTTCCTGGTGGCACTGGGGGCCTTGGTGTGTCATACGGTGTACTCTATGTTCCTATCAGCTTTACCAGCAAATCTTCATCACAGTGACTCACCGGTCTGTTTCAAGGCCTCTGGTTTCTGTTTCACCATCATCACTGGATCCTCACCAGAACTCCTCGAGATATCATACTGTGACCACCCCAGTCATGGTGATCCTGTGGATATTGATGAGGTAGATGTTAGGGTGGGCCAACCCAGGGCCTGGCTGTGTACCTGGGTGGTAACTGAGCTGGTCAGTCCAGACCATTGGGGCTACCTGCCTCAGGCAAGGGGATGGAGTCAGTTCCCCTATGCCCATGCCCTCAGTGTTGGTTCACCCTCGCCTGTGGTGAGGGGTGGGTCCATCTCTCCTAAGTGCAGGGACCAGCTCTTCTGTGAGGGTCAGGGCCAGCTTTCTTGCTCCAGTGTCCAGTGAGAGGCAAAGCCAGCTTTCCTTGGGCCAGTGAAGAGCAGAGCTGATTCAGCATGACCCTCTGAATTCATCGTGCATGGTTCCTAAGGTCCCCTGAGGTGACATGGGCCACAGAGATCAACATAGACCTTAGCTGCAGCTGGACCATGGACCCAGACATAGTCCTCAGCAGCAGCTTGGGCCCAGATGACATCCTGACTTGCAGCAGCTTGGGTGGAAGCGATGTCCCCTCAGGTTGGGATGGTTCTGGCAGCAGCATTGCCCTGGACACCGCCAAGGCCTCAGGTTGCAGCCCTAACACTGGGTTTCTGTTTGACCTTTGGGGGCAACATGGGACTTGGACTTCAGCACAGTCCCTTGCCGGTAGGACCATGGACCCAGACATGATCCTCAGCAGGAGCCGAGTCTGGATGTCACCTTTGCCCCAGGTGGCAGTACAGGCCACTCATGGGCCCCAATGGCAGTGTGGCACTCAGACCTTGGGCCTTTGCATGACCTTGATGGTTACAAGAGCCTAGGACATCAGCACAGACCCTGGCTACAGTAGGGTCACAGGCCAGACATGGCTCTTAGCTGCAGCTCTGAACTGGACATCACCAGGGCATTGGGTGGCAGTGCAAGCCACTCAGATCTGCATGCATCCGGGCCCTCAGACACCAACCTGGACTCAGGTGGCTGACCTCACCCTGGGCATCTTC